CACTAAACGCTGCATGCAGAAATCAACAGGATGGGCCTGGATACAAGTCAACCTGCATGAGAACAGCAGCAGTGACTTGTCTCAATTACAAGAGGCTCTTGCACACACTTCAAACTATATAACAGCACAGATGTGGAAGAAATACACAAAGTCCACCAAGGTACAAGAATACACATGCCCCTTGCATTTAGACAATATTTGCTTATCCCAGAGTTCAGCTTATAATATCAACTCCATCCAAAACGTATATTTTAGTTTTATTTGCATGCACTGGTAGGTTAAACTGTTACCACCTCTTCCCACAAATCTATAATAAAAGATATTGGCCTCACCGCTTCTTTATCCAGTTTGCCTATTCTATATCATGGGGGATTGTGACCCCATAATTTGTAATTGTTACAGCATCGGAATGAAGCTGAGAAACCTTGTGTAGTACCTAGATGTCAAAGGAAGCCAGCACCTGCACAAAACTGGTAAATCTGTTTGGGTCAAACTGGTCTCGAATGACGGAAATTGTTACTGTAATGCAGTATTTATAACATATCAAAAGCAAACGTGACAGAGGCTTTAGATAATATATAAAGACAAAATGTGCACCACTCATTAGCTTATGGTCCAGCTTAAGAACTTGACATTTTGTACATATATAATGTAACGTAAGACAGAAAGACTTATCGTTGTAAATAGTGTTCACTAGCCGATCTGTGCCTTTATATAAAAGTATTCAAAATGCACAAAGTACATTTACTCTTGCTTAATGCTTTGTCTACACACACTAAAATGACGACAATTGGACTGATGATTTTCACCACTGTGACAGTAAAGCTGGCCATACACTGCTCTATTTGTTTCTTTCAACTCATGGGCTGAATGGAAAAAAAAATAGAGCAGATTCCTCCATCAACACTATGAGCATTGATCAAGGAATCCCCACTGTGTGCTTTGTATTCTCACATCATCTGCTGTCAGAATACCTGAACAGAGCCGGCAGCTCATTGGCTGTCGTCTGTTTGACATTTTCCAACCGGCTCCTTCGGTCAGTTGATTGAGGGATGCCGATATGGGCACCCACTGTACAAATTTCAGCCGCTTTCTCAAGAACCAGCCCAAATTCCCACAGAGCATAGCCACCTTAAAAGCCACATTTTACTTGATTAATAGCTTCCCGGTCAGCTGTTGTAATGAAACGGCCGGCAGCTTCTTAAATAGAACAGGGCGTCTAAAGACAGCCTGTTAGCCCCGTCCCCCCCACAGTAAAAGCTAAAAAGGGAGTTCTAATCTTTCCCTCCCTGTCCAAAACTAAGAAAAACTTTTTTTCTTGACATATATTATAGTAACAATTGCAACCTACAGCTCCCCCCCACCCAATAAAACCATTTAATGGAGACAGAACTGCAAAGTTATACAAAGAGGTGAAACACCACATTGAATGGTCTGCACCAAGCTACAGTGCATGTTATTTGCCAACACAATTATTATTTTTGGCTTTTACTACAGAAAACTGTGTTGACTTTGGTACATAATCATCAAAGCTTAGGGTCTCTAGCTATAATTTGAACCTGTGCTTTGCTAAAACAAAGCAAAAGGGAGAGGTTCATTTTAATACAGACCTGCTCAGCAGAATCCTTACCTTTCTTTCACTCCCCCACCTCTGTTCAGCAAGTGGGAGCAAAAGGAAAGCCCAGCGTAAGCTACAAGTCACTGGAGTTGTAGTTTACATAAGACCATGGACTTCCTGTGAAAGCCCCCAGCAATAAATTGACCTGTGGGGGAGTGAAGGAAAGGGAAGTATAGTGGTTTTCCCCATAGTTCTCCTTAGGGTCACAGGAGGACATATACTAACCTCCTCCAGTGACCCCAAAGCTCAGTATATAGCAGGCTATTGCACGCTATAGGCCGACAGTGCCGCAGGCGGAACAGATCCCGACAATACTGTCGAGATGCGCCCAGCTGGCTGATTGACAGCGGGCCCTGCCTATCTACAGGCAGAGCCAGCTGTGCCCACCCCATCCATTTCTCCAGTCATTGCTGGAATCAGAGAGGGGAGTGGGGGGGGGAATCCTTGCAGGGAGATGATCAGGAATTGAGCGAGCGACGTTGTGTTCGCTCACTTCCCGATCTATACTCGACGGTCGAAATTCATTACCACACGTCAGCTCTAACTAGAAGGATGAGTGGAAATCACTCATCTTAGTTCTCCTTTAATGCAAACCTGATGTGTCCAAAGTGGGCAAAAGCATGTTTGCACTTGAAAATGCATTTTTGTTATTTTTCGTGCCTGACTGCATGACAAGTTCAAATATATCTTCGATTTAAAAAAAAATATATATATATGTTTAGGTTAAAACAGAGTCTGCATTACAACTTTTAAAATGCTTCCAAATCAAGGTCCATGTCTTTTATTTTATGGTCTTTCTACATTTCTTCCCAATTTTGTAGGAGGTAGGCCTCCTCATTGGTTCTTTGAAAACCAGCCCTACTTGAGAACTCAGCACTCTCAGAAGCAGTAGTCCCCCAAATCTATGAGCCCCGTCTTGCGGATTACACTGCCAGTGGACAGAAAATCTATACACCGACAATAAGGGACAAAGGAAAGAGATTTCCATGAGTAAGCCCTAATACACACCTGTATATGTTACAATCCACCAGCACCCACTTTCAGTTCTGTGATAATAGTAATGGATGACTATTTCCAAACTAGACAGCTTCTCGTCTCTTACAGCACTGAGTTACAGGTTTGTGCTGTGCCTCAGGACAGTTATATAATAAACCAGCAAAGTAAAACACATATGGAGCCATTTAGAAAAGAAGTAATTTTGTTTTTACTCCACCTATTCTCATGCTCAAAACTTTACAGGTACACCAAAAAGTTGGAAGCCCCCCCTACATCTAATGTAATATTTGACACAATTGCACTGTGTTAAGTCAGGAGTTAAATCTTTAAAATGCATTCAAGTACCTTAACTATTAAGAAAATGTAGTTTGTGTATCACTCAGCTGTAGATCCTCATGTCATCTCCGATTTGGTGCCGACATTGTCCTTCCTTCTGGAGGGTGGCTACTTTCATTCCCTGCTCCATTCCGTGATGGACTACAATCTCAATACAAATTAGTAAAATAAAACGTGAAAAGTACTACATATGGGGACCATATGGAACAAAAGTAGCCACCCTCCAGAAGGAAGGAGTGTAAGCACCAATTCAGAGATAATTTGAGGATTTACAGCCGGGTAGAGTTGAGATGCAGGCAGAAACATAATGACGGACATTAAGCAAATTAGCAACAAAATTAGTTGCAAATCAGACTGCCTCTTGTTAAGCAAAGGCTCTGCTTTAGGTTTATCATCCCATGCATCTTTTTCTGGGGAGCCAGGCACGACAGTCTGCAAAGTTCTGAGACAGATTACTGAAGATGTGACCACAATTAAGAAGCGGTCAGGGTCACATTTTATTCTGTGGCAGAGCTTATTTAAGCAGCTGAGGAAGGTGTTTGACTCAGGCTGTAACCTTGTAGTAAATCTGTCCCATAAACAGTTTTACTACTTCTGTTTAGCATTGCTGTGCAGTGCAACAGAATTGATGGATGTCCCCCATTTTACCTGGTATTTCCATGAAGAAATAAGTTCACTTTCCAGGTAATTGGTCCAGAAGTGTATTACAGTAAAAAAAAAAAAGTGTGTGAAGGTCCGTGGAACAAGAAACACGTTGCTCCAAAACACATTCTTCAATGAAAACAAATTGACGTACAAGTCCATTATATTGCTCACATCATGATTTAATAACTTGTAGTTTGAAGTACATTACAAGCAAATTGGCTTCTTAAAAAAATATTTGCTTTAGTGTACAGCTGCCGCCATGTTATAACAAAGTGATTCACTTTTGATATTTATCTTAACTACAGATCGACAGTGGTACTGTGTTGGATATGGCTTTCCAAAAGTCATTTAACTGTAGGCCCTTGCAAGAAAAGTGAAGGAATTGAAAGGGTGCACTTTATCTTGAAATGAAAACCCCTTTTAAAATTGATCATTCCACACCAGAAATATATTTTAACTATAAGCGAAGTCTGTTGGGTAGAGGGAGTCTTGCCCTGGTTGCTTATATCTCTTGGAAGCTTTAGAACAGTTCCTAGTCACCTTGGAATTTTAAAAGGACACCATTCCAGCTATTATTTCCTTAGCATAATAGGTCTTACAAGGAGAATATGTATTTTCCTACTTGGGTTTCAGCAGCTCTATAGGTCAGGGAACTCAAGTGCCCTTCAGAGATCAGAGAAAACATTTCAGCTGCTAGCAGACATTTTCAGCATTACATGGATGCAGTAATAGGCATATTTGCCAAGCCAATGGTTAATGTTAGCAGTAAAGTGTAATTCACACCTGCAAAACTACAGGTTTTTTTCCTTCTCAAAATGTTGGCTATCAAATATGGTTGAACATCTGTAATAAAGCACCAAAGCCTTTCACATGACAGATTTTGCAGGGATAATATACAAATTATCAAGAGACAAGATGCTGTGTACAGATTACAGTTAAGCTACATGTATTCTAAAGGCATCTTTGAACAAGCTATGCTACACAAGTATAGCAAAAATATTCCCCTTTAAAAGTTATAATACATTAGACAAATGTCTACCTGCTCACAAAAACTGCCCAAACAGCATGATCATAATGTATGTTCAGTCACTGTGTACATGTATGGAAATATTTCACATTACAATTTCTGCATTCAGGATTCAAAAATGTTTTCCATCAAAACTAACTAAAGCGTTACTGTTAAAAATAACTGCTACAAAATGTTCCAGAAATCTAATAAAATAATGTCATTTATTATGGCACAGTCCTCCTCTGTTGCTGTCCACAGTAAATATGAATTGGGTATGTCCATATGTACCATCTTTATTAATGTACAGGAGAATTTGAAGTGCAGTCATAATTTGAAGAAAGTTTGAGACAAACTGCTGTTTCTGTAATCCTAGGACTGTTATTAAAAAAAAAACCAAACAAAAAAACCCTGAAAATCAGTTTCTACCTTTATTCAGACGCTGAATGCCCTGTAGGAAAACAGAAAAAGGATTCCCTTCATTTGTCTCCATAACTTGATAAACCAAGAATAAAAACACAGCCAAAATAACAAAGATAAGGATCTTTATCCACATGGAGATCGATCGTCCAGTTTTCGGTTTTGTGACCTTCGATCCATGTACTGGATAGTACTTTGGGGCATACTGGGAAGTGTAACCTTCTTCATAATTCTCACTTATAGGACGACCTGCAGCTCCTTTTATCGGCCTGCGGCATGAGGCGCTGAGGGCAGATAAATAAACCGGTGAGCATACAGAAATTGCAGTAGTGAATACAGAGACATGTATCTTTGTAATAACATACATTGGATCAAAAAGGGATTGCAGTAGTTGAAAGAATAATTCATTAAGGCCATTAAAAAAATGTGAAGTTATTCCTATATTATAATTCTGCAAGTTTATATATGAAGATTTATATTTACTCCTTTTTCTTTAGCTTGACTTCATTTAACCGTGGGTGACCCTTATATCCTATAGTTGATCGCAGGCATCTTTTTTCAGGATCTAATAACCATAATATTCTTAAACAATGTGCCCTGTAGTAGCTTACATTTCTCTAGACCGCCGACCTCTGGTATGCAATACTGTTACGCACACTTAACATCTGTGTTATCAGCATAATGGCAGCAGCAAAGATTTAAAGTGACCCCTGACCTCTTACTCACAAGACCTAACTCTACCCTCAAAGTGCACAAGTAATGCTACCGTGTTTCCCCGAAAGTAAGACCTAGCGCTATCTTCGGGGATTTCTGTAATATAAGACCTACCCCGAAAATAAGACCTAGTTCGGTGGTAGGTCTTATATCACAGAAATCCGCTAGGTCTTACTTTCGGGGTAGCTGCACATAAACTGAATTTTAAGTGTAAAGACCGGCCGCAGCTCCCGCCCCGCCCACACCCCAGCTTCCGCCC